ATAGAGGCTTCCTTGGCTGGGCCGGAGCCAGGCTGTGGTGGACGAGTACCTGGCCTTTCTGGGTAACCTGGTGTCAGCACAGACTGTCTACTTGTGTGCCTGCCTCAACATGGTGGTCTCCCACTTCACCCCCAGTATGTTACTCTGACTGGTACTGAATTAATCATGATTCATAAACGTGTTACAGTAGTAGGCTTGTGATGGTCGACGGGATGGAAAGGAAATACATGACTGTCAGATGTGTATATGTGAAAAGCAACAAACAAAAGTGCTTCTGGTGACTCGGCTCCATATTTGCACATTTGTTTTGCTGAACCGTCTTCTGTGTCGTCGATGATAGACTTCAGCTTCAGTCTGAAAAAGAACACAGGTCACAAATAACTGTGTTATCCTTTTAAATGAACACCAAACACTGCAAGTTTACTGAGGAGCAGGACTGATAACTTTCACTGCTTAGCTCCTAAATGAATGTTAGCGTCATATTTTTAGCGATCGCCACTAACGTAATGGGAACTGAAGAGATGACATAAAGGGTTAAATGATGAATGCTAATGTGTGTGCCGGCCAGATTAACTTATGATAACTGTTTAATACTTCAGTGTTGAGGAAATGGGAACTTTACTAATCCTTGAAATTCCTCATAAAGACCTGTTCAGTGTTACGCATGTCAACTCCTCCGTGTTCAGGTGTAATGAGGGGAGGGGTTGTGTGCAGACGGGCAGCTGTGTGACAGCTGGATGAGGCAAAGACAGAGTCTGTACTGTAACCAATGAGTATCTGATCTGATAGTCTCTTTTAGGATCTGATAGTCAGTTTTTTGACGACCCTGTACAGTTGTTGTCTTTCTTGTTGTCGTCTCTGATGATGGAGAAACCACTTGTGTGTTTTTTCAGAGAGAGTGACCATCTGTGAAGGAGGAGTGGATATCTCTGATTCAGATGATGAAGATGAGAGTAAGATTTTTCTCTTCTCCTATGAAGTGGTCGTTTCAGACATCATAACCTTGC